CCAGAGCTAAGTACAAACTTGGATCTTTTGCATCCTGGTGCTTAGACTTACACATTTGAGTTATGTTGTCCTTCATTTCTCGCCCTTCTGTGCTCATCACCACAAAATCGCAGAGGAGCCATTGCACATAATGTGCGAACACACAAACAACAGCCACATTGAGGCGCTTCCTCTCCTATTTTAATCTAATCCCTGGGTACTAGTATAGGGGTTAGGAATGTTTTTTGGCCGTCTGGAAATAGGTCTCTAGCCAGGAATAGGCCCCAATCTGTTCTGCTTCTCAGTTTCTGGAAACTCTCCCAGTCTCTTGAACATGTGCATCCCAGGCTACCTCTTTCCTGCACTCCTCTTTGCCCTTGAGCACTGACAAGCTGAGAGAAAGCAGATGTCAGAGGAAGGAACGGATGGATAGTTGGGTGGTTTCAAGGAAGTATCAAGGGAATATGGCAGCAGGGAAGGGCTCTCATGCAAGACAGGGTGGATCAGCAAATGTGAAGGGAACAATGGAAATGTTTCTGAGACGCTGCACCTTTTTCACCTTACTGCATTCCTGAACATTTTTGCTGTTTGCATTTTAAAGTACATATGCATACATATACATATGTGTGTGTGTGTGTGTGTGTGTGTTTTGGAAGGAAGTCTTTTTGTTTGTTTCCCTCAAAAGAAGTTTTAATCATTCCTATTCAAAACACATATCTTATGAGCCAAGACCCTGAAGTATTCTGTTACTGGTAAGCTTCCAAAAGGGTGCTATTATGAGAGCCAGGAGACCACGGGACAAGAGATAAAGAAAGGAAAGGAATTTTGTTTTGAGACTTAAAAGAATAAAAAATTCCTAACTTATTTATTTCACAATCAATGATGATATAGGAGAATGTATTTTTTTCCTCAAGATGCAACATAATCACCACTGTCTCTAAAGAAAGAGCATGCCCTTAGATATTTAGGGAAACAATGTTGACATTCCAGATATTTGTAAAATACCACCACACACCCCCCCAAAAGAGGGTG